ATATTTTCCTATCCTATAATAAAATTTATAAATTAGGCACAGTAAGAGACGAACAACAGCATTAGAGTAAATCTAAAAATATACTGTAATAAATAATGTCAATGGGGTCCCTCTTAAAATATCCTCTTGTACTGTACCATTCGCCTCTTCACTTAAAGGAAGCACTTCCTGGTTTCTCTTTGGCATGTCCAAATAGCCAGCATCACTACTTACACTTGGGGGTCACTATTGAGTAAAATAAGGGTGACAGGAACACAAGCATCGGGGTATGAGACAACCAACCTGATAATTGAGGTAGATGCTCTAAGTGACTAACGAGTGGGAACAGTAGTGTGGAGATGTTGGACAAAGGCATGATTCACAGCCAGGGCAGAAAGGAATGGAATGGCATGAGACTTCATCACACAACTCAGAATGGCATCAACTTAAAATGTAGGAATTGTTTCTTTCTGGAATTTTCCATTTAATATTTTCGGGCCGTGGTTGACTGCGAGTAACTGAAACCAGGGAAAGTGAAACTGTGGCTAAAAGGATCTACTGGTCCCAGGACTTGGCTCTTTGCCCGTCTCTCCATCCCCCTCTCCCATTTTTCCCCAACACAAACCTTCAGGGTACACTTTGCTCCTGCTAGTCTCCCCACCTAGTATGTCCTTTGCAATTTTCTTTACCTTTGCTCAGTTTTCAATACGTGGGCCTTATTTCCTTTAGAAAGTCCTCTGGGAACTCCAGGTTGGGTTACGTGTGCCACCCCTGGCGACCATAGCACCTTATACCTATCTCGATTTGTATCATTTACTTGTCATGTTAAAATTACACACTTACGTGTCTTACTCACTAGATGAGTGGCTCCTCAAAAGCATTCAAAAGCAGACCTTATCTGCTTCATCTTCAACTTCCCAAGGCTGAGCACAAAGCCGGACAGATAATAACAGTTCTGGGTCTGAAATGAACTGATGCAGCGTAGCCTTAACCCCAAATCACGAGGAAACTATCATCTAACATTAGCAAGGTTGCTGGGACCAGTACTTGCTCATATAATTTTTAGAGCTAGCTGCGTCCTTAAACGTATCATCTAGTACTGTGCCTCTTGGCAGCAGGTAAGCAAAGGAATCTCTGAAATCACAGGACCAATATGGTACGTCATCCTGGAGTATCAATGTCACCTAAAGATTTGAGGGAATGTGACTTCCATGGTAAAACAGATAGAGGTGGATTTTAGAGTAGCATGCCCATTCAGGCAGGAAGAACGACTTCAGCTTATTCTAGGCTGTCCTCAGCCAAGCCTCCATGTCGTGGGGACGCACCTTCGACGGTGAGTGGTAGTGTCTGAGAAACACGAATGGGCAGATCCTTGTTCTACACAGTAGGTTAGTTCTTGTCTAGAGTCTTTCATATAAAAATAAATAGCACCCGCGAGACTAAATCACAGAAACGACCTCAAAAGCAGCCAGAAGAGAGAGGTTTTTCATCCTGGGCTTGGGTTGGGCAGGCAGGTCTTCTGAAATAGCACCTCACTGTGTTTTATTATTACAGAATAGTCCAGACGTAGATAAAGGTAGGGGAGAGGAGGCAGAAAAACAACATTAAAACAGAGCAAAGAGAAGGCTTGGGTCAAAGTGGGGGCCAGATCAAAGAGAGTGGGAGGAGAGGAAGGACTGTAGAGGTGAGATGTGGAGCATGAAGAAAAAAATCCCAAATAGGACGGTGGTTAAAGATGGGACTATTTGCAGGGTTTTTGGTGATAACCTAAGACATTATTACATCTTTAGTAAAATGACATGGGGAGTTTCACCTCTGGAAGTTCTACCTGGAGTCCTGGTAGTGTGACAACTTCCTGGTCTATTATCTTCCAGTTGTTCCACCTACCAACTCTGAGGATGAGGTAGCACCAGCCAAGGGGAAGTGACATAAAAAGATGCAGAAGAGCCCGGCTAGTGTGGCTCAGTGGTCGAGCGTTGACCTATGAACCAGGAGGTCACAGTTTGATTCCTGGTCAGGGCACATGCCCGGGTTGTGGGCTCAATCCCAGTGTGGGGCGTGCAGGAGGCAGCCAATCCATGATTCCCTCTCATCATTGATGTTTCTATTTTTCCCTCCCTCTCCTTTTCACTCTGAAATCAATAAAAACATAGTTTTAGAAAAAGGTGCAGGAGAAACAGAGGAAACAGCAAGGGGACAAGTAGGAAGGGCTCATTTACAAAGGGTAATGAAGTCAATTGAAGTCAAGCCACATTAATCTGAAGCGTATTATGCATCAGGCACTGTTCTAGGATCGGTGATGGAGGAATAGGGAGAGCAAGACTGAACCCCAGCCTTCGAGGAGTTTGCAAGTTTTCTTTGAAGGTGCCCGAGCAGGAGAAGCCCCCAGTGGAAACCCCAGTATCTAACGCGGAGGCTTTCCAATGAAGAGGTCTTGGAAAGCGAGACCAGGAGTCATGCCTGTAATACGGTACCTGGGGTCTCCATGGCCTAAAGCTTCCCCAGCCGAGAGCGATGAATTGGCCTCACGCTTAGACTCTCACGTCAGGCTGCACAAGGCGGAACGGCATGGATTCCGAGAGTGACCTTCAGGGACAGAATTCTCTCCCAGATCCTATAACCAAGAAATTCTCCAGAGGTTCTAGGATGATCTTTCCCCAGGAAAGCCTCCTAAAGAAAGATTACCAGGCGAATTATGCTTTTCCATCTCAACGAAATCTTCTCCGAAACAGCCTTTTAGGACAAACACTGGCATGAGTGGAGCTTCTTCCAAGCCCCTGGTTCATTCTGGGTCCCTAAGTATTTCATTCTGGGTGGGGAATGCATGTTTTGGAAATGCTTACTCCAAAAACAATTATTTGTACATATGTATACTGCCCTAGAATCTTTTTATTTTTTAAAGCTTTTTTAAAAAAAATCACATATATACATATATATACATATATATACATACACACACACACACACACACACACACACACACACAGGTATAGGTAGATATAGATTGTTTTTTAAAGAAAAAAT